TTGTAGCCTTCCTTATTCAGGTCTTGCTTCTTTTAGACCGCAGAATTAGAGACACTGCCTTCGGCCTCCCTAAAGAGTCCTAAAATGACCTAAGTTATGGAAGTACCTATTATGGATAGGCTGGCCTGTTCATAGGCGAATGAAATTGAACTGATCTTTTTCTGAATGAGGTCAGACATACATGTAGAACGTATTCTGATGTATCATCGTCATCAATGCAGAACCAATCATCCTGACGTAGTAGTGACACCGGTGGGGTGCATATGAAAAAGTAATAGGGTGTGACCAGCTGTTAGATACCCAAAGACTGACCTGATACATATAATAATAATAATATCCATCGATACCGTATTTACCCACTCCAACAGTGAAGTCGCCATGCAAGATTTTTATGTTGTAGCGTGGACATTGCTCAGAAATTGTTGAAATTTTTCAATTGAAGCGACTTTTACGAAACAGATTCCAAATCTTCCCGTTAAGGCGGTATGAAAGATACTGCTGAGAGTCCAGTTTGAGTGCCTTGCGTCAACAACTACTTAATTGAGATAGGCCAGCCGAAACAATCACCGAGAATTTATAAAAAGATACAATATTGTATTCTATCACTAGTGCAAAAATTAATGCAGCTTGTCTGGAATTTCATATGCATTCGCCATTGGTCCTGACTCTTTTCCGTCAGAACATTATTTTGGTGGTCTCTTTAGAGAAGTCAGAACCACATATTAACTTTGTATATCACTACTACTTTCAAATTTAACAGAAGTATTTAAAAAAAAAACCAGATATGTACAAAATATTAAATTTTTATGTGATGATCGCTTTTACACTTCAAAATTAACCTCAACTCACGTACTGGCAACTCTGTTCTTTCGTACGTATGTATGTGTTGCATAAAGTGTTCATTGTTTTCGTTTTAAACTTGCTTGTTATCTACTCATCTTGAATGGAACAAAACGTTTCGCATGCTCTTCGTGTTTGTATGTACGCTTCACTGCTTATATTCATCATAAGTGCATATAGCATACATACATACATACGTATAAGAAAGTATCCGCAGCCTAAGTCAAGCTCAAATAGGTAGCTCTCTTCTTAAAGTATTTATATATTCTCATCGTCGCAGTGATTCATTATGGAATATCCAACGCATTTGTCGTTGATGGATTAGTGTGGGGAAATCCATTCACTTTCCTCCAAAGTGCAGTATCAGGCATTTCTTTCTAAAGCATAACTGCACAACAGGCGGTAGAATTGGAATGGTATCTGTTTTTTTTTTAATTAAAAATTATTTGAATGGCGAACGAGCGCTTGGGCTACTCGCATAAACCCCGCAGCTGCCTGGCCATTCTCACATCAACATTTAGTGTCGATTACGTCCTCTCCTTCTGACCGGCGTAAATTCTCTTTGCATCTTTGGTCATCCATGCCAACTGCGGGTGATGCCACTCTACACCACTCTAAAACATAGTTGAACCTGGTAGAAGGGTGGGGAATGCCCCGTCCCAACAGGCGCCGATAGGGGTATTTCCGTGCGACAGGCTTTAGAAAAAGGAACATGAACTTCCATGGACTGCCTCCTAGTTTTTCAGTAGCAGCAAATGCAAATAACTACGGATGATCTAAAGCTCTTAAGAATGTCGCTTTCTCCTTCAGGTCCAGACAAGCAACATTGAAAGCTATCGAAAAAGTTTGTGCTAAGTTAGATTGGGCGCAGACTAAGAAATAGCAATTAGTTGGGGAACTCTCTACATATAACTAACTATTTAGTCTCAAAGAGACAGTGTCTTACGAATCTAACTTTTTCGGCTCACGGCCACCTTCCACCATAGCCAACAAGCTTGAATTTTAAAATGTTTAGCGGGTATGAAATTATCATCTCGAGCTGGCAGTGCTGGATAGGGGACAGCCTGAGTGCTACACCTCCCCGGGCGACTTCAAGCAGGTGATGATGCCTCTTTGCAGGGCCTATAATGAAGAAGTATGCTGGTTCTTCACCATTTTTCCGAGATGCGGGATGCGCCTACGAGCGCTTGGTGTATCTCAAAAAAAGAGCACCCGCCCCTGTAGAACAGTTGCGCTCGAGTCCGAGGCCAAAAGCCTGCAACTGCTCAGTGCTGGGTGGGGCCAGTGAGGTTTCTAGGCAAACCTTTTTTTTGCTGCTTAACAGAAATTCTTAAGTTATATAAACACATTGAACGGTTCAAAACTGGACAACAATGTAGGAGTTGAGTCTCACAGTTGGGGCTGGAAAAGTTATTCTGCCTACCCGATCAAGCCGAGTTGTTGCGAGACAGCAGACGGTTGAATATTTACGAGTACGCACAAGAGAAGTCATAGTACTCTGCATCTACTCAGATAGTCAGGCGGCACTCAAAGCACTTGACTCAGTCACATGCAATTGAAAAATCGTATCTTCATTGGGTACGAGTGCCGAGGTACGCGGAGAGGTTAGGGTTTTCCCTAACGACTTCTGAAGAAAAGCCAGAAATTTTGCAGCTCCTGTTATGACAAAAAAGTTCATCAGAGGAGGAGACATAACCAACTAATATCTGCTTGTTGTCTCTTTTTAGGTTAAATTGTGAGTTGTGCTTTTAAACCGGCACTTATTAATGCCGAACAACCAAAAAAAACCTTTAAAATTGCAGCTCCGATATTGGATTTTTTACGCAGACACATATCAGTCCCATTTCCAAAACCGGGTATGTATGTTCATACTTGATCTGATTAAGAAGTTTTCCGTTTTGGATTTGTAATACTTCGACCTGATGTGCTTTGCTATTTTTCAGATTGGGGTACTGCTCCATTTTGCTTCAGCCTTTTGTCCGAGTTATATATAAGCTTATTTCTCTTTTGAATAGTTCGAGGAAACAATAAATGTCTTTACTATGGATTCATCAATAAATGCCCCGACCTCTGACAATTCATCAAGATTCTGGTATCCATAAATGTTCTTAACGGGCGAAGTGTCTGTCAACTCCAGCCTACTTTACCTACAAATGTGAGGCTCGAATATCTGAAAAAAGCCATTATCTTTGAATCTTATCATAGTTATCTCTTTTTTAAACTTATGGACCTCAGAGGGTTTTGCGGTCAGAAATCAGGGCGGAGCATGCCTTTAGCTAGACTGAAAATGGTTTCACTATTAATACTTATATACATACATATATATTAACCACTACTACTCATTTGGAAAACTGGAGAACGTCAATAAAGTGGGACCGGAGGTTCGTTTCCCAGCTGATACCGCTGGGTAGCTAACCGTCTATACATGGTACTCGTACACTGGCGGCCATATTAACCTACCCTTATCGAAATTCCCTTCAAATACTTCCCCTTAGCCCAGTAGTCTTGCTTGAAAAAAGCATGCATAGTTGTTGGTCCAGAAAGAGGCTTCTAGGGTCGCACCCTTATCCACACCCCAGTATCCATTTAGGACTCGCCGGTGTACATTGCAATGGAGTTCTCTTTTTACGCAGCCTACGAAGGGGAAATTACTCTTTGAACAATACTTTTGCATCGCATAATTGCACCACAGATTCCTCAAAATTATTTTATTTCACAATAATGTAATTTTTCCTTGAAAATTGCTCAGCAATAGATGGATACAGTCAGCCTGTCTAAACTTAGTTTCTTAGCCCTTCAATCGAGCTAAAACAGCCGGTAAATGGGAAAAGTACAAAGATTCATCCTTCGAATACAACACAGAAGTCTAAATGTAACAAAAACGTGCGATCTTTTATAAACATGCGAGCTTGGAAGTCACCAGAAGCTTGTTCGATCCAAGAAGAATCCTATGGTTTGCAGAGTTTGGTACTCATCGTTAGGCTTGTTAAGATGAAACCATTCGTTATTCTATAGTTTACATGTTTTGAATAAACGGCAAAGCTGTGGGGTGCAAAAGCTCAACCGAAATTCCATCAAATTTGGTTTAAATTTCGGCAAATTTTTTTGGTATCCTTACGTTTTCTCACATTTCCTTCCACTTTGACCCGAGAATATGACTGTGTTTTCACGCGGCAAACTTTTTCGCCGCTATTTTGCGTATTCTGGCTGTCTCTAATTGTCTAAAATGTTAACCAGCGTGTTCAGGTTAGCTTATTTGATTTAAATTTTATGTTCTTCTTCATGGCCTTTTTCGATATATTTTAGAAGAAACATTCTTCGATTTTTACTTATTACCCTCTTTTTATTATACTAAGCATGTCAGGTATAGTCGCGCTGCGACCTACTCAAAAAAATATTTCATGCTAAACTCTAAGTGTAGCCATCCCAACCTCAGGCTTTTTACAAAGTTAAACGCTTTGAAGGGAGCCACATTCCAAATTTTGGACGGAGAAAATAATTTTATCAGTCTGCTCTTAATGATACATGGGCAGTTACGTAGAACATGCTCTGCGATTTGCTCCACCATCTCCCACAACCTGCAGTCCGTCTTTACAGAAAGCTCAATTTTATTGAAATAGTACCACAACCTACAGTGTCCAGTCAGAAATCCAGTAAGAGTTTTAAGACCCTCCCGGCTAAATTGAAGGAGTCTTTCGGAGTTCTTCCTGGAAGCGATCTGAGACTTTTCCCAGCTTCTCAATAGCTCTGCAGTGGGCTCCAAGTTTTGTGAGACTGTCAGCTCTTTCGTTGCCTTCAAATCCTTCATGTCCAGAAACCCACTACATCGTTACTCTAATTTAGACTCCCAGGTTATTTAAAAGAGTTTACAGCTCTCCACAGGCCTTTATGTCATTTTAAATGGGTCAACGGCTTTTAAGTCTGGCCTCGTTTGTCTTTCTACGAATACATTCGCGAACACAGACTTGGTTGGGTAAGTGCCCATTTGCCGACTTTTCTAAATTCTTGGTCCAAGTACGCCTGCCATACTTGGTACCCTTCGTCACTCACTTGATATTAACGTTCCACAGCAGTCTCTTTCAGAAACGCTTACCTTGCACGGCTTGGAGAAGGATAATTTCGATAGCATAACAAATTAAAATTACATAATCACAAAAGTCAAGAGTGCAGTACGGCCCTTAATTTAATTACTTTACAATTTTTTTATTCAATCAAGCTTAAATTAAGGTCTCATATTAATTAACAATTCAGTCCTTTAAGCATGAAATTCGGTGGTCCATAGTCATCTTATCTTCTATTACTAATTCAATCAACTCTGAAATACATACATATGTATATGGCAACAAATTCAACCAATGGGCCAAGCGACACTCTCAATATAGTCGAGAAATGCAGACACACGCGTATAAAGGCCAGGAGTGGTGCTACCGCAACTGAAGCCAGCCGAAATCACGCCAACCACGCGAAATTTACTCAACGCCTCATCCACTACCAAAATCAATGGACCGCCCGAATCACCCTGGCAGGCATCCTTGGTTAGGCCGGGATCATGAGCGCACATCTGACTGCTTATAATGCCAACGCTGATTCTACGTGTCAAGCCATTGTCCACATAGCTTTCATTACATCTTTGGTTTTCGACGATAGTCTGGCGTGCCTTAAGCAAAATATTGGACTTTTCACGAGCTGCAATGAAAGAAAAAGGCTACTAAATGGTTTCCAACTTAGAAACAGTAAGACAAAACTTACTTCTCTTATTGATTACACCCCAACCGGAGACATAAAGTACAGAGCTGGCTGACGGATCTTCTGGTTCGGTATAGAGACACGTCGGATATACATTGGTCGTGTAAACGACATCTGATTCCAATTCAAGCAATCCAATGTCGTTGTACACACTGGCGCTCGAGTACTCCGGATGCACGTGAATTTTCTGCGGCAAAGTAGTAGTTAGTATTTTTTTAGTATGTATAACAGTACAGAGTTTACCTTGATTCTAATCTCCACAACGTCTTTCATTTGTTCAGTATCAGTAAAATTCACTACCCCCATACGCACCGTTACCGGTTTCTGACGCGTCACCAAACAATGAGCCGCAGTCAAAACGAAACGTTTCGCAATCAAAGTACCGCCACAATTGTATTCGATATCATCATCTGTAGTGCTCAGTCCAATCGCCACCATATGCGGATATTCGCCAAGTTCAACGGGTGTACCGCCTAGAATGTGCGGTGTCAGGAGAGGCTGTAACTCAGCATCGATTTCAGCACAGGCTTAAGAATTGAAAGAGAGAGGGAGAGAGATAAAGCATGGAAATCAGGATAGAGAGATTCAAGCGTGATGCAGACAGCAATTATTTGTCGTGTGTTAATTCTGTGCTACTTTTTTCAGACAATCTTTACTCCCAGAATGCGTTATCTCACGAAACAACGAGGTCAAATGGCCACCGATATCTTTAGATTTGACACCATTGGACTTCTTCTTCTGGGGCTGCGTGGCCGTTTTTTGTCTATGCCAATCAGCCCTTTAAAAAAAATCCTGTCGCCAGAGAGAAAAACTAAAATCGCAGTTTTACTATAGTTGGCCGATATTTTTTTTCGTATGGCGTAATATGATCGAAAAAATAAAAATCAAAAATAACGATCAAAAATTGATCGAAAAACAAAAAATCCCAAAAATAACAATTATTCTTGATCGAAAAAATAAAAGTCCTAAAATAACAGTTAAATTTGATTACAAAAATAGAAATCCAATTTTAGCGGTTAAATTATGATAAATATTGCAAATATCATAACCGTTACGCTCACCGGTATTATTTATAAAAAAAAATCTGCGGTCTTATTGAATCACCCTGTATAATGAATATTTATAGGATTATGACCACAAAAGAAATACTAACCTCTTACAGCTGGTCGATCGTCTGAACGCGTCCTAATAGTTGTTGTAGGTATAGATGGAGATAATCTGTTGATTTCGAAGGAAATAAATACGCTTGGTTTAGAAAAAATCGAATCTGAATCACTTACGGACAACAAATTATCTCCTCGTACGTGGTAAAACCGCATCGACTTACATCACGCATTCCTAAGCCCAACTGACTCATAATCAGTGGTAAGTCCACACATCTGCTTGACTCAGTGCAAATGCCTCGATGGCCTTTGACTTGACAGGGATCACCTACTAAAACGAGAATATATGTATATAAATATTGACGTGATATGATCTCATTTACATATGTATGTATATGTAACTATTCCAATAATACTAAATATATCTGAAAAACTTATGAAAAATAAGATAGAAACATTATAAAGTAAAGTCACCGAGGTAGGCCAGTGGAAGTCCTTAAAAAGGTCTAAATGGGTTCACTAAATAGGACGGTTGGCTCCTTTACGGTAACATGATGTGGGAATCTCTGAGTTTCTTTGGATACTCATTTCGCTGGAAAGCTTATAAATCCACGATCTAGATGATTTTCTCTTTAGACTTTGCATGATAATTTAGAAAATAGCTAACGAAAGTGTTTGTTTTTAGCTGTCCAAATGAAGGATTTTTAAAGTAGAACCCTGGGTCTATCTGTCCATCTTCTGATACTTACAAACATCGGACCAAAGTTATAATACTATTTCATGAATATGAAAGGTATGTTCTTCAATTCTACGAGTGTCTTGAAAAAAATGTTACACCACCCTAATGTACAAATGTATATGCCATTAAATCGTTAAAAGCAAATCAATATACAATCAACTCCATAAACTTACCCTCCGCTTGAGCTTCTGTAATTCCAAGCAATGCAAATACACTTCCAATCAGCAACAGCATCGGCGTGCAATGTTCCCTTTTTCTCATTCGAATATATGTAGAGCACATTTTGATCTTTGTTTTTAACAATTAAAAGCAAACACAGTTCGCATGTAGAAAATTATTATGCATTTATGAATTTTTACATACATACATACATACATACATACATACATATGTAGTATGTACATATACATGTGCGTATAACGTATTTAGTAAGTTTATCGAGTGTGGTTCGAGTGTTTATGGTGAGTAACACGTGTCAGGTGAGGTAAAGTCATTGAACCGTAACAAAGTCTGCAAGTAAATATGTTTATAATTATTTATGTAAATGTATATATTAGTTATTAGTTAATTAAGTACACAATTTTCACACTTTTATAATATTTTAAGTTAACTACGACGAGCTAACTGCCGCAGAATGGAACCCTTCGGCCATGGTCCACATATCCCTTACCGCAGTTGAATCATTCCATTCGGTTTGCTTGAAAGTACATATTGTCGGTGACACTGCAATTAGTACTCTTGGCACTTCTGCATCTAAAATCGTAACATTCTCATAAACTAATAACAGAACTGTCTCGCTTTGACTAATGAAGATTACTGATTTACAGAAGCGATCAGATACAGGTGGCAGGTCATTTAAGCAGCAGAGTTAATAAATAATTGACATAGAACTTTCTACAGTAACACCGACGATATCTTCGTGGTAAAATTCTCTTAAATCTACTTGCAGGGATGTAAGTAGTACTACCAGCTCTACTGCTAGAAAGTTCAAAACTAGATTTTAAAGGGAGACCGATCGTTTCATTTGTCGCTGTTGTCTTGTTTATCGCACCGTGAATGGATGGATTAGCAATGCAAAAAAATGAAAAAAAACACTTGACTTAATGTATGGAGTAACAGACTTATTGAACTGACCTCGTAGTTTCATACTTGCATTAAAATTATGACAAAATTTTGAATTCAAGCGAATACATCCTAGCCTTAGAAAAACTTCAAATTTTGTATCAGACTTTTTTTTAGAATATTTTATGCACTATTGTAACTACGGCTTATCATTGATTTTCGGCAATTTTCTTTTTTACTTGCGGTATTTGTGCATTTAAAAAAAAAATAATAATCCAAAAACCTACGGTGAGTCCTAGCTATTTTAAATCTAATTTAAGAGCTGGAATTTTTAGATTTATAAAGTTTTCGTTGCAGAATAATAATTTTTTGTAAAAAAATACTAAGATTAAGAAAAAACAGTAAAATAAATATATATAAATGATCAATATGTGGCGCGCCATAAATATGACACGGAGTGTAATTTCAATAAAATTACCAAGTTTTCCAAATCGCATTTCATCACATTTTTTGTAAGATTTTTATGCTTCACTCTACTTACCCCTATTTTTTTTATCTTAAAAGTTAAATTTTTCACCAAGGATAGCCATTCAGCAGCCAAGGAAGTAATATCCTCTGCCCAAAAGGGTGAAAAAATTATGTAGTTTTTTTGTTAGTTTTGTATGTATTTTTATTTAGAATTTTTGTTATTTTAGCAAACCAGCTTAATTTCTGATCTGGTCTTTTCTGTTTGGCACAAGCGGCTGTACATTTGTACTAAACTACTAGTTAACTACTAACTTCAAACTCCAAGCAAAATTTAATTTCTTTTTTAACAAATCCACTCAGGGGATTTACCTTTCAAAAGCACTAGATCTACAAAACACTGTAATTTATTATTTTGTTATGTTTTGTTAGTTTATAAACAAATGTATTTAAGTATACAATGTATAAGTGTCGGCATGTATAGTATGTATGCATGTAAGTTGGTTTATAGGCTTTCAGTAATTAGGGCACAACATCGCACTTTAATGTCAGTCTTATCTCTCGGTCATTGCCAGCCAACCGCCGATACACTATCTGACACTAGCTTTGATTGTTTTGCGTTTTGTTTTTGTTACTTTTTGTGATTAACATACTCCCAGATTTATTCTATATACGGTACATACATATGTACATTAGGGTGCATCGCGAAAAAAAATTGCAGTTTTCCATTGGCATAATAAAATTTATTAAGTTTATTTTAAGACTTCTGCCAAAATATTTACGATTTACGCGAGCTAGACCGATTTGAAAATACCTCCAATATCTCATTATTTTAATTCCGCTGATAAAATGTTTTAAACATTTTTATGGAGATGTTTAAGGCTTAAACTCCTCCATTATCTGAGGTGATTTTTTGGAAAAAATATTTTTTTTTTACTAATTTTATTTACAAAGAATTCGATTATTGTATCGGAAATTGTAATATTTTTCCGAAATATGTATGTATTTTGGCGGAAGTCTTAAAATTTATAAAAATTTTATCAGTCCAATGGAAAAACAGTGCCGATTTTTTTTTTGCATTTAGAACGATGCACCCTAATGTACATACTGTGCGTGTGTTTTGCCGCTTTTGCTCTGTTGGTTTTTATTTTTGTTTTCATTTATTTCCAGCGAATTCAACCAGTCGTTCATCCGGTTTCGCGATTATGTTTTTTTATACAATTTGCATTGTTTAGCTTTAGTTAGTAATTAATTCTTTTTTAACCCGAATTTCGCGCAAGTATTTAAATATGTGCATTAAGCTTCTACATATCTTACTTTCTTTAAATAATATATGCATTTGAAAAATATAAAAAAAAATATACAAATTAAACAATTTTCGGCGTCAAAGCAATCATCCGCTTCCAACGTGTTTTAATACAGCAAAGCGCCACGGCTAAGTGAAAACTAACCTACATCGCGACTTTGTGCTCTGGTCTGGCAACTGTAGGTAGACTTACAAAGCTAACTCTCGATTTGTTTGTTGATTCATTTTCATCTTTCGCTTTCAAGAATCGTACTAAACCTTTATGTGGGCGCAGTAAATACGACCAGCGGACGTAAGAGAGTCTAAAACAAGTGATCAGTCAAATACGAGATGCCAAAAACTCGCGAAACAACAGAAGAGAGAGAAAGACATGGGAAAAAAGGGCCACTTTGTCTACAGATGATCGCCAGCTGCAGCTACAGCCATGGGCGTAGCCAGGTAGGGGCAGGGGGGTGCTCGAGCCCCCCTCTAACTTTCAAATTTTCCTTACATATATACAAAATAGTACCCTGAAATGCCAGCTTAATAGGGTCGGGCCCCCCTCCTAAATTTCATTCTGGCTACGCCTATGGCTACAGCAGAGTTTAGTTGGCCAAGCTTACATGTAAGGGCATCCACACATACCACATACGAGCCTTTAAAAGTTCTTAGCTTCGAAATGTTTACCCAATGGATACAATTAAGTTTATTGTGAATATTTTGTGTTGATTTATAAGTTTTGATATCCAAAATTTTCACAATTTTTCATTGTAATTTTTTACTTCTTACGTTTATACTTACTTACTTGGAGAATTCTCTTTTGACCATGGTATGCAGTTCGTTAACGATTAAAGCACCGTCCTGTCCAGATCAACACAGCTTGCCTTACTCAGGCTAAATTGAGTCGCGAGACCAGAATGGCGACCATTCTTTTTCTTTGTTTTATTCGACACTTAAACCATTTGACGACTTTTGACGGGACCTAAAAAAGTCGCAATTGCTTATCGCGCTTGCGAAGTTCTGCCAAATTTAAACAGGTTCTTTTGTACCTCGTGCGATCAATCACCGCCTATCTATGGTTTCAGGTTAGTTATTTCAACGTTTTTTGAGGCGAAATTCTGAAACCGGGTTACGAGAAGGTCGAACTATTTTACCGTGAGAGAGGCACCTGCCTCGAATAATTGACAACCCAGAAAAGCTCTAAGTTTAAGCTCTACAGGAAGGTTTGGATTGCTCCCGGCAAGTAAAATACATTCAGTAATGTGAAACCTTGCTTAAGCGGCATAGTCATTCTCACCGTTGTAGGATCGAGGCCCCCTTTGATTGCCTGCGTAGCAATCTCAGCCCTGTCACAACACTAGTGGGCGATAATGCTCCATCAACTTTTGGTGTCAGCTGCAAACGCAGAACCTAATAAAACTCCAGTTGTAACATCAGCAGGCAAAGCCAGACTGCGTGGCTAGGCCATCGTCTCAAAAAAGGCAACCCACCGGGCTACAGATATAGCTCCAGGCAGCATCCACGCCCTAAAACACGTTAGTGCGATAGACTTCAGGATCATGGAGAGACTAAAAGACATTAGGAACGGTAAACTAACCAAGGAGCAACTAGTCTACGAAATGTGGACTGAATAATTTTTAGCAAAATTCTTTATTATTAAGGGACGAATTCCGAGTTCTAGTGCTTCGCCTGGGGATCAATCGAAACGTATTAGTCTTTATCAGGTCTAGCCTGTACAATCACCATGAATGACTTTGAACATCTCGTCATCCACAAGACAATTCGGCCATTATGTTAGAGCGGAGTGACCACTCCAGTTACTGGAGCGCATATAACAGTCTGTAACCTGATATAAAACCGCCATTCGCTCCGCAATACCTACTGCAATCAAAGCTTGTGCGTAAAAATGTTAACAGTCTCGAAAAAGATCAACCGACACCAATCGGTCCTTCGCCCCCTCGTCTCAGTACCCTTGATCACGCAATTACTTGATAACCATCAGGGTTTTGTCGTATTTTCGGCTTTAAAAAGTCGAAAAGTGTCAAAATATTCCTTGATAAGCTTTAATGTGACCATCTGGCGTTTTCGAATTAGCTGCCGAGATAGGTCGATCTTCCACTCAGCAGTTGAAATGGGGAAATAATAACAAATATAAATACAAAACAGACATAAATTCTTATAAATTATTTAATTTTATGCCAGATTTAATGAATCGATAGGGCGTTTTTGAACCGAATTCTGAAACAGGGTGTTCTTGAAAAGTTTTCTTCGACAAATTTTCTGAGATAGGGCGTTTTCGAACTGGCTGCCGAGATAGGTCGATCTTCCATTGAGGTGTCGATATTTAATAGTCTGGCCATTCATCGGCTCTCTTATCTGCAACCCTTTTACTTAGAACGAGGTTTTCCATAGAAAATTAAACATAACTTCGTACTTATCATCACTCCCTTCCAAAAGCGAATTTTCAAACGAATTATAAGGCAGCCATACATATGTATGTACATATGTTATGGTTTACTTAATCATGATTCAAGGGAAACGAATAAGAATAGTTTATATAATGCCATCCTACAACCGGACACGTATAGAAAATGTACGCAAATCTATTTACATGCTTGCATATGTACGTTAGGGTCGTCCAAAAACACACAGGAAAATTAACTTTATGGAATTTTCCCGCTGCCATATACATATTTTATATGGAGAAAATGAATTTTTGTATAGAATAAAAATAAATATATTTAGATCGAAAAAAAATGTTTCTCTTCAAAAACATTCAAAATCGAAATTATTTAAAATTTTACTAACTATTTTTGGACCACCCTAATCACATGCATGAATTTTATGAATTGACGTGTTACTTTTTCCAGTTACTCTTATGAAAGCCTCTGAATTTTATGAGTCACAAACCCATTTCGCCCCACTGGAAGCCAAAACAGGCATTCATCCTTCATAGAACAAGTAGATAATTCCATTAAATAAAAAACTATAAATTTATTTTAAATAAATTTCTTAAAAAGAGATCTCCGAAAACCCCATCTCGCCTCATTGCTGCTCCATGCGCCCAAACTGAGGTCGAAAGTGACTTGCCAAAGGCAGTGGCGGTTGTTGCACAGGCGTACCAACAATTTCCCGATTTGCAAGCAATCTTTCATTTTTTGGTTGCTTTAGAAAATTATGAAATGGATCATTATTTATTTCATTTGCAGTTTGAACAGGGTTTCCATTGAATATTGCGTTAACTCGTTGAGCCTGTCCTTCGATGGGCATCACTTTTGGCACAGGGTTTGTGTTAAATATGGAATTTATTCGCTGACCGACGTCATCGCCTCCCTTAAATACGCTATCAATCTTTTGTGTATTATCTTGAATTGTTATCCAATTCGGCGCAGGATTTCTATTAAATACACTCGTAGGTGGTATATTTTGAGAATCAACAGCATTTGGCCATCCAGTATTAACTTCGATAGGAATGCCACTCGGTAATGCACTGCCATTGAATTTAATATTTATGCCACGCGTATTGTTATTATTTATGTTTCCGAGCGGATAGCTTCTCCCATCGTTTACTGGAGTATTATCTTCGATTGGTATGCCACTTGTTGCAGTATTTGTATTGAATATAGCATTTATGCGTTGGGCAGCGTCAGCATCTATGCTTCCAAATGCTGCGCCAGTTGGCGTCGGGTTTCCATTAAATAACGAATTAATCTGTCGAGTCTGGTCTACGCCATTAATTTTATTTCCAATCGGAATCAGCTGTTCATTGAATATTGCGTTGATCCTTTGTGTATTATCTACAGGCGGAATCCCACTCGGAAGAGGGTTCAGATTAAATATTGCATCTAATCTTTGGTTAGTATCCGCCAGCGGAATTCTACTAGGTACCGGGTTCACATTAAATATTGCATCTAATCTTTGAGTATCAGCCGCATTTGAGAGACTGACAGGTGCAGAATTTGCATTTAGTAGACCGTTAATGCCTCCAGTATTGCCTTCTATCAGTGTAGCCTGCAGATCAGGCTTTGTATTGAATATATCATTTATTCTGCGCGCATTTTCTTCGTTTATGCCTTCATCCGTTAAGGGTCTTTGGTTCGAAATTTGATTACCATTGAATATAGTATTTACTCTCGCGGAGCTATCAATCTTTGGCCAACTAACTGGAGCGGATTCATCTTTACTCCTGCTAGCACTCTCTCCGTCTTTATTGCTCTCCTTTAAGTTATTTGAGAACCAAAAATTTGCTGGTTTCGGTTGTATAGTTCTTGTGGTTGTTTCATCTTCTAGCGGCGCACGAAATTCAAATGGTTTGAAGATATCTTCTAATTTATTTGGCAGTGCCTTTGCTGCAGGTGCTGGAGCTTGTCTAGCATTGAAGGTGTATTGAAAAAGTAGCTATTAACTAATAAGTAGTGTTTGTGTAGGTATGCGTTTCAAACTTACGGACAACAGATTATCTCCTCTGTAGTTGTAAAGCCACAATGGCCAACATCGGCCGATTTCAAGGTCATTTCTTTCATTAGCACAGGCAGTTGCATACATTTACTGGCTCTCAAACAGATGCCTTTGTAGATACCAAAATCACAGGGTTCGTCCTCTATAAGGTATTTAAATTTTAGGTTTCATATGTGCCTAATAGAAAAGATGACATTAACTATGCCTACTCACCATAGTACATTTGTGCAACGCTAAATCTTCTGAGGGTAACCCAAATGAGAATTAGTCGACTGACCAAACAAAGTTCATCAGTTGGAAGCATTTTTTTATACAGCGAAGTTGGACTGGTAATATAAAGGCTAAATTGGAATAGAATTAAATAAAGTAACTTTTATTTTATAGTTTCCATATTTTTTATAAGCACTATTGTATGTACATATGCAAAGTATATGTGCGTGTATTTTTCGCAAAAAACATTCACTTTCTCTTTATCAAATGCATTAAATTCGTAATTGGCCCAACTTTTCATCTTCTATTTGGCAAATATTGCTCAAGATTTCTAAATTACCGTATTGAATACATATATTTTTTGATTGTTAATTACTTTTTATTTATAAAATTCTCAACACAGTGCTTTTGATTTTCTATACTTGTTAACAAAAGCTTGCCATCATGGCTACTAAAATAATCCATGAGTGAGCGAGTTATTCATGTCGTGCGAAAAAATATGAGAAACGTCCAAGCGTGCATGCATTTTTGCTGATAATTCCTCGGGTTATTCCGATTGAGTGATTATGAGCAATACACGGTGACATTATTGCATAGTGTAAGGCAAGAAAATAAGGAAGGGAATGGCGGGCTTGGTGGAGCACGATTAAGGTTGAGATCAAGATTAGTAATAAGATTAAAATTGAGATTAGGATCGAAATTAAGATTAAAATTAATGCTAAGATTAAGATTAGCATTACGATTAAGGTTAAGATTAATGCTAAGATTAACAACCAAAAAGGAAGATTAAGGTTATAACTAAAATTAAGATTAGATTAGGATTAAGACTAAAATTTAAACAAGATTTAAATTATCAGGGAAATTCTGGCAATTCATCACAGTTTTTCGAAAGACAAAAGTCTTACGTAAGACAATTGTCAATTCTGGCAACTATGTGTCTTGAAAGCTCTTTACTGTCTTTCGAAAGACTAATTGAAAGATCTTCTATCGAGGAGGTCTTCGCGTTATGCTGTTCGGCTTTTAGCAATCAGTTCTTTTTAAATTAAAAACAACATACCGATGGCTGAGTGGAAGATCGACCTATCTCAGAATTCGGTTCAAAAACGCCCTATCTAAAACGAAAATACATTGAAAATAAGCTGAGATAGGGCGTTTTTGAATCGGCAGCTGAGATAGGGCGTTATTCAACCAAATTCTGAGGTAGGGTGTTTCTCAATCAAATTCTAAAGTAGAGCGCTCTTGAAAAGTTTTCTGAGATAGAACAATGTTGAAAATTTTTCAGAGATAGGGCGTTTTCGAAATGGCTGCCGAGATAGGTCGATCTTCCACTCAGCCATCGATACATACATAGGAATATATTTTTCGTGAAAAAAAAAAAATAAAAATTAATAAATGAAAGAAAATTAATTGAGAGAAAAAAATTATCAAAAAAAGAGGAAATAATACTTAAAAATAATACATACATATGTATACAATATTCGTAAAAAAAAAAAAAGTTTTATCAAAAAAGGGAATATTACTTAAAAATTAAATAAGATTAAATATAGTTTTATTAACACTAAATAAAAATAAAAAATAAAACAATTTAAAAAAATTTAATAAGATCCTCAAAACTAAATGAAATGAAAGTATATATTTTCTTTTTAAAACAATAACGTTTAAAATTAAAAAAATTAAATTAACAAAGGAAAAACAAACTAAATTAAACAATAAATTAAATACATTTCTAAAAAGTACTAAAAATTTCTTATTTACACAATAAAATCTAGAAAAAAAAACACTAAAGCAAATATTTAAAAAAAGAAAAAAAAGATAAAATAAGTTCCAAAAAATTAAATAAAATTATAAAATATTCTTTCAAAAAGAATAACAACCAAATCATTAAAGAAAATTAAATTAAAAAAAGGAAAGATATACAAAAAAATAAGTTTCTAAACAATAAATTAAAATAAAAAAGTATACATATTTCCATACATAAAAAATCTGAAAAACTAAACTAAAAAAGGAAAAAATGTTTACTATATTAGCCAAAATTGCCCTGTAAGATTATTTATTTCCGAGCGGATACTCCGCTCAACAGTGGTTTATGTTCTACTTTCACATCTACAAGAAGAAATGTAAAGTATAGCAGGGATTGACTCACTGCCACGTGGTTCACATGCTTGTAAGTACATATAACCCAAAAAACCTACAGTGGCGGTCAAAAATGGATGAATGGTGTTTCGTTTCTAATATTTGCACTTTTCTTCAAGCTTAAGTTTTTTTTTGAGGTTCAGGCTTTAACAAAAACCATATAAATCACACTTTCAAACTTTGTACAGAATTTACATAGAATCAGAATTTAGAAAAATGCTTAACAGAAATAAAATCAACAAATTTTTGGTAAAGGTATTAAACCATTTGGTATTTATTTATGTGTAATTGAAAATAAAAGTAATGAATAAAATTAATGTATTACCAATCTACTTGAGGACATGGACGATGACAACACCCGATGAGGTGGAAGATTTGCGGGTCAAAATCGGCCAAAATCGCTTAGTTACAGCGGCTACAGCGAGTGTTTGTGAGTAAATTTTAAAATTAAAATTCTTGAAAACGTCAAAAATTCCAAGTGTCTCTCAGCGGTTCTACCTACCGATATTTTTATCATGGAAGAATGTTTAATATCGTCGCGCTCGAAATTTTTATAGCTGCCTATTGCGTAGTAAGGAGCGAAATGTTTTTTTGTTTTGTTTTTAAAAATTTAAGTTTAACAATATATGTAGCAATGAATTGAGAGACGTCTAATGTGTGACTGTTTTTGTGAATTTTTTCTTCAAATACAATAAAATCTATGCTGAAATAGGTGAAAACTACATCATCTACATCTTGCATATAAAAATCATGCTTTGTATTTATTTTCATTTGCGTTAAAAAATATAAATACTTAAAGTTATTCGCTTAATTATTAATCTATCTAATCTCGATATCTTATCCAAGTAAAAATGTTATACATATATTATAGAATTATCTGCCATCAGGCCAAACAATGCTTTCGATAAAGTCCAAAAACCCTGCCACCTTTGTGTAGACACCCGGTAACTTTGTGCCACAAACTAAACCAAATGAAACGACACCAACAACTTTATATTTACCCAACGATTTGTCTTTGACTAGTTGCAATGGGACGCCTGAGTCACCCCAACAAGCCTCTCGCCCCGGAGCAAAGGCACAAAGCTGCGTCTCATACGTCATCTGATCGGCATAACTAATGTTGCATTGTGCAAGCGGTACCGTATTCAGCTTGGCTGCCAACAAGCGAGCTGAAGTTGCTATAAAACGAATAAAATATATTCAATGAAAAATCCAATTCATATAAAAATCAAATTTCATAAATGTGGCATACTCTTATTTTCGGTGACTCCCCAACCGGTCACAATCAGTTCGGTGTTATCCGGCAGATCCGTAAGATCAGTGTGCAGGCAAGTTGGGTAAACCTTGACACTATATTCAGCATCTTTAGCCAATTCAATCAAGCCAAGATCAAAATTATTTAAAACACTTGAATAGTTCTCGTGTACGTAGGTGGCCTGCAATGTAAAGTGAGGGAAATAAGTAAGTATGTAAGTACATATGTACACTGGCGGTCACGAATAACGTACCGCCACAATTGTCTTTAATTGAGGTAGAATTTTGGTTCATGCTATAATAATAATAGTTATAGTAATACTATGAATGAAATTTGGAAAAATTCTTCAAAGTTCCATCAAAATTTCAACCCTTTTAATCAAACCGTTTAAAAAAATTTCGGGTATGCAGTTTTATAACCTATTCAATTTTAGCGTATTAAATAATGTGCACGTTTGAAGTGGCTCACAATTCTCGTTGGTTTACGATTTCTTTTTTTGCTTACGGTGCAGCTTTTTCCCAATAAGACATGTTTCTCATATGGGAGAAAGTGGACAACATCGTACAAAAGAAAATAATTCAAAAATCAACCAGAATTTCGAGCTACTTCAGACTTGCACTTTATTTTACTAAAATTAGATGGGCTATAAAATTGCATACTCGAAACTTTCATAGATTTTTAGAACGTTGAAATTTCTATGACAACTTTTTTTTTAATTTTGTACAAAATTTGAAATCTTGATTTAAATGTGGAGCTTTAGGTGCACTATAATAAAAAAATTGGTTTTCCCACTTTTAAAAAA